AAGAAACTGGATGAAAAATATATACTTTGCAGAGGGTTTTCTGTGTCATTTTTCTCTTCCATTGCAATGCTCAGCAACTCTGCCTGTAAGGGAGAAATTACAGGGGTAGCTTTTTACAGAAGTGGAAGTCCCCTAGAGACTTATCATTTGTCTGTATCATTCCTGAATTAAACTGTGTGTAATTGGCTTCAGACACAAGTACAATGGGTTCAGCAGCAATCTCACCATTTGGCTGCAGACTAGGATTAGAAGGTTTCCCTCTACTGACCCTTTTGTCCCTGGCTACCTGTCAAATCCCTAGCCTTTCTCTCTTCCCTTTTCCCTCTCGATGTCTTTCCTTCTCAGAAACTGAGATGTATACGAGTGAATCTGGGCTGCTGGAGAGAAGCAAAAAAAGGTGGAGGAGCCCTGTGTTTTTCAGAAAAAATATGTGTGTGGAAGGAAATAGAAGAAAGTACTGCATGTTTGAAGGGACATGAGGAAGATCTGCCTTTAATAATATGAAAATAGAAGACACATCTGTATAGTCTCCAAAGTCCCTATGCTTTCCAAGGGCTCCTTTAACCACTGTGGTGCAGTTTGGGTACGTGCATACACTGATCTTTCAGTAAAGCAGCACCTCAGATATTCCAGTGGTCCTACAGTGCCTGGCTGAGCTTGTCTTCATCACTAAAGAAAAGCTTGATCTGAAGGACCCTATATCATGTGCAGAATAAGCTAATACATGCAGTCTTATGAAAACCCACGCACTTCTATCCCAGTATAGGAACTTCTATATCTTATAGACCTGCACTGGGAAACTTGTAACCTACTTTCAGTTTTATATTCTGCAAAATACAGCACAAAAAATCTCAGGTCAGAATAAAGCATATCCAGTAGGTTACACTGAGTCTCGTAACAGCTACTTTAACACTTTGTTTTTGCAAATCTTTGAAAGGCTTTTTATGACCTCAAAGCAAGGCAGGAAATTCAAAAGCCACAGTGTTGCTGCAGTGAGGATTTTCTACATTCCTATCAGTTCTGATTACCTGGTGTCTCAAAACAGGTGCTTTCCTTCTCAGAAGCCATGTAAGTTGCGAAAGACCTGGAAAATAAGTGTACCAAGCAGCTGTTTCTGTTGTTGAAAACTCACAGATTCACTTAGAGTAATTTCCACTTGATTCTGTCTATGCTCTGCTGGAAGAAAAGCTAGGGAAAGGCGCTGTCTTGCATGCTAAAATCTTTTCTGTATCTTATTTACACTGATATGAAATTATTATGAAACACTTGTCTTTGTCAGAAACAAAAATTTAAATTAGATTTGAAAGTTGCCTTGATTTTTAACATTTTTATACGAAGGAATTCTTAGGTCTCAATTTGGGAGTGCAAATTTCACTCTTAAGTGCAGCTGAGTGCACATTATAAGCTTTCCCAGGATACTTTGCTCTTCCTACCTGCTTCCACTGGGTCTTTTGAATCCAAGTATCACATTCATAGCTTCTAAAAATCCTTCCTTTGGACTTTTGGTTTAATTCTTTTTTTTTTCTTTAGTATATTAAAAGTTTGATTATTTTTTTAAATTGTATCAGTGTGTAGGACCAGTGAACAAAAAGCCCTATCAATTTATGTTTGCAATTTAATTGTAAGATGGTTGTTCTCAAAGCTGCTTTAAACGTTTTCCCTTCAGCTGTGGAAAGCTATGGAAAGCTATGGAAAAATGACTACTGGATTACTGTTCTCTTATCCAAAATGAAATATTCCCTAAAGAAATATTGTCTCGTGTTCAGAACACTGCATTTTATCATCTTGAGAGACAGACACTCAGTCTGTCTTCCAGCTTTTATTCTGAAAAGATGAGCTTTACGACTTAGTCACGGGGCTGGACTTCCTATTGTCCTAAACCCTACTCAGTCATTTACGTGAGTGCAATATGGATGCAGAGTGCTACCATACCAAAATGGTTGTACCGTATTGGTCTGAATGTAAGGTGAGTTTATAAAAGACCAAAGCAGGGGATGGTAGTGGAAACATTCTACTTCTTGTGTGTCTAGATTGAAACCATCTCCTGTATTCCACACTTCCTCTGTTACCCTCAGCAATGCCTAATTTAGGCAGAAGATATGAAAATAAAACTGCATCTTGCTCTCAAAAGGTTGCTGAAAATTCTTTACTGGGGATCAAGCTGCCAGGCAATCCATCAGCAAGGCAGGTAGGCTGTGGGATTCCTGTAGGGCAGATCCCCTTTGGGAAGAGTGGCAGGGGAGCAATGCCTAATATTTACTTTCTGTAGTAGAAATAATCATTTAATTTCACTACTTTTCTGTCGTTTCTATTATGAGCATTTCCAGTACTAGGGGGATGGGCAGTACATGGTAGGTTGCAGCTTTTAAGGGAAAATGTGGCCCCTATTTTCTAGATCTGTGAGTGCAATAAATCATTTTATTCTATTTCTTAAAGACTTGTTCACAAAAGGTTTTTAAAGAAGGCAATGTTGTGTCTATAGCAGAATAAAGCAAGCATAATCTTTAGTGAACTGATAAGGTGTTACATTTAAGACAAAAATATAAACATCTCAATCATGCTGTCTTTCAGTGAAATGGAGTAAATAATCTTTTACTCTGTGAATGAATGAAGATTGCTATAGCTTTCCTTTGTTTTTCTATCTTGCCTAAATCTGTAGTATCCCATGCTAAAACAAGTTATACGTACTCTTTTTTTTTTTTTCCTTATGGATTTAATTAAAAAAAAGATTCAAGAAACTGTTCTCTACAGACCTCTAAGTTTAATGCTGATGCTACTCTTTTATATGGTTCATTCAAGATAAAAATGCATTTAAAAAGTTCTTCTGTGTTGCAGATATTGGCAAAACATAATTCTAAAATATCAACAATCTTGAATTCGTGATAAAGTAACATTCTAATATGATATTGTTTTAATCATTTAGAGTTTAATTATTAAAGAACAAAGTATTAAGGAAAACTCTTGAACACCAACCTTATTTTGTCTGCCACTACACTTTGAAAAAAAGATTTCTAAATAAGTGACCATTGCCAACCTGAGCCAGAGGGCAGCATTCACCACGTTATGGTACGCTGCAACTGATGAATCTCAGCTACGGCTTAACTCCTCTTTCTCTGTATGGTACCAATAAATGTATTGAAAAATGAATTGCCTCATATGGCCTAATGCAGAATTGTTAAGTGTGTAAATGACATTGCCATTAGTATTCAGTTATAAATACATTTGAATTTTAAACTGAACATATGCTACTTCTCTGCTGGAAACCAGCAACTTTTGCTTTCAGAAATCATGCTGCAGATCCAGACAAGCAATAATAATAATACTTAGCATTGAGAATGTCAAAGCTCAGAAAGGCAACAGTATCAATATCTCAATTTGATCCATTAGATACACATATTAAATACATTTCTTTGGTCCACACAGTGATCAAAACTGATACAAAAGTAAACTCCTGTGTCTTAGCTGTGAAGGTAATTTAGTGTCTTAGTACCTTGAATATTAATTCCAAAATAGGATTATTTTTTTCATGGTGTTTTTTTTTTTTTTTCCTACAAAGCTGTTATTCTCTTTTTCCCTCCTTTGATTATATTTAAGATCATCTGTCTCAGATTAGAATCAAGTTCTTGTAGCCAATTTAGGCTAGAGAATTTCATGAGCATTCATTTATTAGTAACTCCACTTTTGTGGTCCGTTCCCTCATGTCCCTCTCTTAGTGATTTTTTCTAATAAAATATTTTTCATCAGATCAGAAATGTTGGAAAGAATTGAAAGCATTTCTTGGTTCCCAGACACATTCAAAGTACCTTATTATTTATTAATTGTTATTATTATTTAAGACAGAACCACAAATAAGATAAACACATTTAAAAATAATAAAAATGAGTAATGAAACACTTGTCTGCTTCATTTGGCAAAGAATAAGTCTGAGGCTATTATCAAATACCAGGCATGAGTGGAAGAGAAAGTGAGAGAGAAGGAGGCAAATTTAATTATTATGTAGGGGTGGGGATGCTGTGCAACAATGGGTTTAGCCACAGAGTCAAATCCTGGAGTGTAACTATGCTGACTCCAGGGGAAATTTTCTTATCTGCTTTACCTGGTAGAATCTAGTGCTTGCTGAGCTGATTTTTGAGAGAACGCCTTCAGGTTTGAAAGAGGATTTCTGAAATGAAAACATGACCAGAAGTTCACAGATTATGATGTTGAGAGAGGTTTCACTGTGTTTTATTTCACAAAAAACAGCTAAAATTACTTTGAACCTATTTGCAGCTCACTGTTGACCATCACTTTGAAATTTAAGAAAAAACAAACATATTTCATGATTTTTTTCTAACTCACACGTAAAACAATGGGGTCCCATGGGAAAGTGAGCCTGCTGCCTTTAAAGGAGCACATGCCACTTCAAGAAATAAAGCATGAAAGGAAGCAGTGGTGTGCAAATCAAAATAAACCGTTTACCTTTATCACTGACTACGTGCTTGGGGAAGAACAGACCATAGAGGAAGAACTGAGACCTTTCTTCAGTTTCTGAAGACAGCCACTTTCCCTCTAGATGAGAAAGAAATTCAGTTTTAATGATGGTAGCTGTAGCCTTCCACTGAATGACCTTAATTTTCGTGATCAATATAGGCAGGTGGCAACAATGCTTTCTCCAAGTAACTAATTGCTCAAGATTAAGAATCGATTGCTTTGTTTTATTAACTCTCTTCACTGCTGCTTGGGATTCTTCGCTTCCTCTCAGCTAACGGAATGAGCTCCTGGACTGGTCAGCTGTTTTTTCCTTCCTCCATTTCACCCTTAAGGTTCATTGGCCAAGGAAAAGGTCCACCCACATCATTCTCTTTGCCCAACAGACTTAAATTGATTTCTGGTTAGCAATATGATTGAGTTTACCTTGGTATTTTTTAGGGATTGTTTTTGTTTGATTAGTTTCTAATGCTTGTGTTTTCAATCCACTGTCACCTTGCACTCATTTGGTTTTGGTTTTATTCATCCTACAGGTGGCTGCACCCAAAGGACATAACTTCACCTGAAGCTGTAAGCAGTGAGACCTAAGCTTAGGTAAGAGAATCTGAAAAGAAACCGGGATTCTACTGTGGGAGAGTTAAATTGGACTTTTTATTATTTTCTTTTATTCTTTTCTTAGAGCATTTATGATCAAGTTGAGATTAAGTTAGGCCCTTCTAAACTCCACATATGTATTTATCCACTAAATTAACTTGAATTATTTCTATTTTTGGCAATTTTCACTGCTGGTAATTAATGCAATGCCTACTGTAAGTTCTCTGAGCCTGCAAGTTAGCCCAGGACACAGGCTCAGATCCCAGCACTGCAGTGTGACATGCCGCCACTTAAGCACTTGATTATATGTATGGTGACAAGGACCCACATTGTGCCCTTTGTAAAAGTTTCAAGGAAACGTGAAATCCCACTGACTTGGCTGCCAATGGAACTTTGCCAGGTGGTGGGATGCATGAGGCAAGTGAGAGGGGTGGCTCCTAGTGCTGCTTGTGCACTAAGAGTAGCAATTAAACACACTGCTTTTGAGAGATAGGTCAGTAAGTTTGGTGTTAAGGAGCTGAAAAGAGTGCTGTCTGGGGCTGAAAAGCTCTGCAGAGGTTCCTAATTAACCTTTTTCTGTGCTCCCCAACCTACTTGGATGATTGTACTTACCTGGGTACTGTGCTAATTTTGCAAGTAGTTATTCTTTCCTCTGGCATGTTTATTCTGTATTCACCTCTCAGGCTGCATGGATGCAACTGAGTAACAGTGAAGCTGCAGGGATTTTTCAGCATGAATGAAATAATCTCTCCTGGTGTTCCATCAGTGGTCTTATTAAATAACTTTGATTTAAATACTGGTTTAGTGGTAAATGCAGGCAAATATTATAATGAAATTGAGCCTTACACATAAATGCATACTGCACTCATTTTGTGTGTCATGTGATGTCTGCACTCAACTGTAGTTTTGTAGTAATGAAGAGCAATCTCTGAGTCACTGGACAGGGACAACTGCACAGCAAGTGAGTTTAGGTGTAAATGTAGGCCTTGAATTCTTTCTGAAGAGGTTTTACAGTTTTGTGTAAGCTACATTAGTACTCTCTTTAGATTGCTTATTAATAGCATCTTGCTGTAATTTCATTTTCAATATATTTGAGTTTTCTTGTGTTAATAGAAGAAAAAGTGTCTTTACATAAGTTTATGTAGATGCTCAAAGAATATGTATTAATTGCGTGCCAAGAAAGTAAATATTACAGCTGAAAACGAATTTGTAAAATTTTCAGTGTAGTTGACAATTGGTATTGTATATAACCATTGCTTAGGAGGTCGAGGCAATGTGATTTGTACTTCTTTTGTCTCTGCTATAAAATTTGGAGGAATAATAGTAATGTGTCTGATGGAATATCTATAGTGAAGTCATGCTACAAGCTATGTAAGGCAGTAAGAGACACATGTCAATTTAAAATAGAATAGTGAGTAATCACTTAGCTTACTTCTTTCCAAGATTGTATGGATATGTAATGAAGATTCATCTTTTTGAAACAACTATTTGTCTTCAGGAAAATGTGTCTCTAATGTGCTTAAAGAGAGATTTACTCTGTAATGCATGAAAGCTAGATGCACAAATGAAATATTTGTTTAGAAACTCTTACGGTAATTGCAGAGATTCTACCTAATACTTTTAAAAGGAGTAAATATGACAAAGATTTTACACAGGTGATGGTTTAAAGGACACATAACGTAGGCTCCAACTGCGTTTGTAATAGTTCCGTTCTGTACGTGAAATATGTTCTCTACTTAAGAAAAGAATGAGAATATGAAATATGTTGTGTCTCAGTGATTCTTTGGATTTTCATTCTGTTGATCAGAGTGGAGAAAGTCTTTTCATCCACCAGCTCTTTTCTTTTTTTTTTTTGTTTTTTTCAAATTCCCAGACTCGATACTTTGCATACTACGTGGGGAGGCTGTATACGATTGTATCTTGCTAGTGGAATAAAATATTATAATCCCATTGCATTGTCAGTGAGGTAAAGTACATGATAACTTCTTGTTTTAGTTTATCAGCAGGGTGGCCTAGTACACTGAATTCCCTTCTTCTGGTTTTGGCTCATATTCTGATTCCTGAGAGACACAACAAAGGAAAATTATAATAGCAGCAGTCTTTTTCTTTTTTTAATCTTAACATAAATATTGTAACGCTGGAGTTGCTCGAGGGAAAGGACAGTGGTTCTGTGTATCTCCTGAGCAGCACTGGCATTACAAACTGTAGCCTAATTCTGTAGTGAAAGTTTGGACTTGTGTGGTGATAATTGTGAAAGTAGTAAAAACACATTTGATAGTCATTCACCTCTAATTTAGTTATAATTGTTACCATACTTAAAGATCTCCCTAACTCAAGTCTACTCTGGGTACATAACTACCATAACTTTTAGTATTTTAGCTCTTGGAATGTGCCGTTCTGGACAACTCCTGTCAATTATTGTAAACATTTCCACAAAAGGCCAAAGGGTTCTGGATCTAATCTACAACATTTTTTTCTTCAGTCCAAGAAGAGCAGCCAAACCACCATGAGACTGAGTATTTTTTCAGAAATAAGTCATAGGCTTCTTCTGCACTTCCTGTATCTAGTAGGACTGCAATTGTCTCCTCTTTTGGCTTGGACAATCAGAAAGCAAACCCAAAGCATCAACTTCATTTTATACTGCTCTGTATGGAAACAATTCCCTGCTACCAGTTAGGGGTTTAGCTCAGGTCATAGTGGTTAATTTTTGATGGAACCCCTTGTTAACACATCCACAGTACTTAACTAATAATAAGGAAATAAGCAAGATGACTGTCTGTTCTCAGTGCCCTCTTTTTCCCTGAGCTGCCGTGAAAGAAAAAATGTGAATTTTATAGGTAAGAAATGTATTCCCTCAGCTCTTTCTTGCACCTCTGAGGCAGAGGACTGAACAAATCATTGTGCAAAACCTTGCTGAGACATGCTCAAGAGGGCACAAGTACCCACACTAGAATCTCAGTCTAGGGCCCAGCATCTTTACTAGCAACTCAGGTTAAAAACCCTAAAGTTTGTGGTGGTTACAATCTCGAGATCTCATCCCTCGGAGCACTTGCCTTAAACATCATAGTGGTGTCCTTCAGCGTTCACAGCACCAGCTGCTCCTCCATCCCAACCTCCCCCCCCTCCCCCCCTCACCTAGAAGAAGCAGTGTAGTGGGCCTGCTTCTGGGAAAGGCTTTAAAGATCAGCCTCACTGCAGTCCTGAAGTGGTGGGGGGATCCTGTGCCATTCTGAGGCCACTGAGCAGCAGCAAAACTATATTCCTGAGTCTGTAATAGATGCAAATTGTGCAGATGAAGGAGAGGGAGCTCTAACAGCCGTTGAATGCAATCTGTGAAAACTACTGTTTCATTTATAGTGATGCTACCTAAGCATTTGCACTTAAAAGGAACAATAAAGAGGTGTCAGAACAATCTCAAGGCTGCAGAATTTAAACTGCAGCAAAGACATTTTGAGCCATATGAAATGTTGCCTGCATCTGCTTTTTCTGTTAGTTTTTGTTTTTACTGAAGACTGTTCTAGTTCTTCTTGTTTTATGACACTGAATGGTTCACTTGCCTTCAAAGACCCAAGATGCAAAGAAGTCGGGAAACAAATTAAGTCCAAACTGCAGTAACTGGTGAAAACTGCACAAAGTATGTCACAGTTCTTCTTTCTCTATTTAGTTTTGAAGTAGTTCTGCAATACAACTTTAGATGGTTGATTCATGAACTTGCCAGCCAACCTCTAGCAGATAGCTGTAGAGTTACTGTAATGTTTCAGTGTTTATCTTGCTTAAGGGACAAAGGGCCAATCCTCAGATGATGGAGTCTTTGTAGGTATGCGCATACGATTCTGAGGATCTGAGCTGCTGAGGATCTGAGCTGCTGTTGCTCTTTAATCTTCCGATTTGGAGATAGGAATTTGGCATAAGTGAGACACTGCAAACTGAAAGAAAAAAATATTGCAAAAGAAATACCTAATGGCTGTCAAACAACAAAAAGTTACTGATTAACAAAGAATACAGGGCTTACAATTAGTGCCCTGTTAAAAGCACAAAAAGCTGTGATTGTGAGTCTGATTATCTATGTTACCACTTAACAGCTGCAAATGTGAAAGCAGTGTGTGTCAAGGAAAACAAGGAAACAAGTATTCTGTGATATCACAACAGGTGTTTTAGGTGCACTAATTTTGCTAAGAAAGAGCAGATAACTTTTGAGAAGGAATAGTCTAAAAGGAGATAGTTTGTTCCTATTGATACTTTCCTTGTTTTTGAAGTAGTAGAACTATATGAACGTTAGAGTAAGATTGGCTTTGTAGCTACAGCAGAATAAAATGCATTATAGCATTGGCTGTCATTTGGAATGTTTGAGAGACTTCATAGGGGATACTGTTACCTGATTTTTATTAATATAATTCATTTGAATACCATTAGTGTTCAGAGGACCTTATTGAGACTCATTCATAGTAATCTAGCCATGTACCAAAGATCTCACAGTTTAAATAGACAAGATAAGCAAATGGCAGGTAAATGTCCCTTAGCTGAAAACAATTCTGGCTGCCTAACTCCTTGTCCTATATTAGTTTCGTTACCCTCTTCACTAAAATGAGAGTGTGCTGTTCTCATCTTTCAGAAAATTACAGCATAATTAATGATAGTAAAATGCTTTAAAAGCCTTCTTAGTGATATATCAGAAGTTCAAAGCGGTAGAATTTTTCATATAATATGGATTTGAACTGCATAAGTCTTTTGAATTGGTAACTTTTAGTAAGAAATGTATTTCCCAGGGAGATGGAGCAAAAGTATTTGTTTTAATAGTTCTCTCTGCGTGTGTTTGTACATGTGAGCGAACAAGAGATCATGCAGGGCAAAACATACCATAAATGCTGTAAAGTCTCATACAATTGTGTCAAGCAGTAAACCCAAATGAACTTGCAAAGTCATGCACTAGCTCAATTTTGGAAAGGAAAAGCTGGCTTTGAAGCCAACTAAATCAATCCCCAGTTTAAATTAA